AGCAGATATAAATTAAACCATTGTATTGTTAGGTACTCTTAAATAATATTATGCGAATGCAATTGTCCAACCGTTGAATAAAAGTAAAAAAATAATTATGTATAATGGAATAAAAAAAACTTAAGACTTACTTGCGATTACGATTGCACGATCCACAGAAAAATCCAACAAGTGGCGAATTCTCGGCTGAACGTTCGGGCTGCAACTATACCGTTTCTCTTGAACAGGTGGCAACCTACGACCCGCCCATCCACCCACATGAAAACACAACAATATGACCTGACGTCACACTTCGGCGCCGACGACAAACTCGATAATAACGAATTTGTGTGTTTACACGCGGCGAGATGTGTGAGAGTGTACATTTTTCGCCCTCATAATTTCACATGTACATAAAGTAGGTACAACGTATATTATGTACGATGTGTCGTTGTGACGATGCATGTTTACTGAACTGTACTTTTATATTATATTATATCTAAAATGATTATTTTTATTATCAATCATTATTGTCAAAATACTTACATATTATAACATTTGTACGTATGACTCTGTTTGGGTATGTTTTACAGTTTTTAAAATAGTAATATAATTCACGCGTATCGTTTGCTATATTATAAAATTAAGAGTTTTGGAATTGGTCCATGCACACGATTTGGTATAGGATGTGCACATGATAATAACCGTTACAATGTTTTATGTGTATTATTTGGATATATATATATATTATTATTTCCGTCATATTGTTATTGATTTACAGGAAGAGTCACTTGAGCTTACGATTACGAACCACGAGTATTTATAATTTTTCAATTAAACTTATACAGCTTATTACTGTTGTTCTCTAGAGTCATAGACAATAGTCTTATACGTAATTAAGTTGTTAAGTCTTATAATATTGTATGGAGATAGAAATAGTACCAGAAAGATCACATATAGAGGATTAATTGTTGTAACAATTAATTTCTTAGCCGATTATTAAATCTTAAAACTAACTGTAGTTTACAATATTGGAGGTCTAAGTTTTGATATCTTCGAGTCTCTTTAACTCATCATTATTCTGATTAATCAAAAACTATAATTTACTCGGTACCCAAATAGTAATTCAATTATATACAGAGTGGGTCTTATTCGATTACATATATGCTCACGAAGCATACTAACCACCATTTTCTCCTTAAGTAATGATTTTTTTTCAAATTCTGATTTTTAGAATTTTTAAGTATACTTAAAGACTGAATTTTCAAATACTTATAATATTTATTCTATTTAAGGACTGTGATAGATCCTTTACTACTGTGTCAATAAAAATTTATTTTTTCAAATGAGAAGATGCTTTTTTACAGTAATTTGTTAAGCATATTTTTAATTTAATTTAAAGTTAATTTATTAATGTTATAAATAAAGCAAAATTCGAACGAGTAACTTCTAAATTATTAAAATGTTATTACATTATAAATGTAATTATATGATGATAAATTGTCCTTGATAATATGTTTAAATATATGCAATATACCTAAATGGATGCTATGGTGATTTGAATATTATAATTTATAATAACTACCTAAGAATTAATTAATATAAACATATTATAATTTTCATATTTGTAAAATACCTTTATCAGAAAATAATAATGTGTACTTATTAGACTTAATATTACTTTTATTTTTATATTTGATGTAAAATCATTAATAAGAATTTTATCCTTATATTAGTATAGTTTCAGTCTAAAACGTTAAGAACATAGAGGTTAATAACTACTAATAAACTACTCGTATAAACTCAAATAAACTACTACTAATAAATGTTGATTTAGATGCATCAACACTTTCAAAAAAATCATCGCATTAATAATATTAACAATATAAAAAGAGTGATTCTCATTTGAAAAAAAAAAATTTGTATCACCACAGGATACTCCTTAAATGGTATTAGAGATTTAAGTATCTGAAAATATTTAGTCTTTAAATTTGCTAAATTCAAAATGAAAAAATTCAAAATGTCGATACAATATAAGCAATATATATATATATATAATTAAATATATGTGAGTTGAGCATATTTGGTGAATCACACTACTAAATTATTTTGACAATATATTAAAATTAAATTGATCATTATATTTAACTATTAAACTATTAATATATATAATCAGTTATTTACTTATTTGTCTAGATTATATTATATATAATATTATGATTGTAATCGATTAATCAATTCATCAATCATAAATTATAATTAAATCACTTTAAGTAATTATGATATAACAACTATTTTCAAAAAAAATACACATTTTATACTATTTTTTATCATTATAATTGTCTAAGTATTTTACTCTATTTAATGACTGTACACAATCTTAATTTAATATTCCTAAACAAAATATTATTTGGAATATTTCGATCTATAAAAACCAAAATTCATACTAGTGCCTAGGTAGTTTATAAGTTAAAGTATTTACATTTTAAAGCTTATATGAGTGGATTAATTGACCAATATTTTGAAGAGTACTCCTGTACGGCTGTACCTCGCCACTCTGCACATCTGAACGTTAAATCCATAAAATGTATAAACTTCTACTAGCTCTCCAAAAAATATTATACTTCAGTAAGAGTATATCAATTTTAAGTTTTTATAAAGTTCAGATAAGTAGAGTGGAGAGGTGCAGAGGTACTCCTCAAGATTTTGGTCTATTACTACACTCATCGAAGATTTAAAATTTAAATACTCAAACTAATAAACTAGGTACTCGTACTCGTCCAAATTTCGATTTTTAAAGATCGAAATACTCCAAAAAATATTCTGCTTTAGAATGAAAAATTAAAAATGCACGTTGTCATTATAAAATATCAATAACATTGATTTTGAATGAATTAAAATATTATGAATAAAATATAAATGAGTCTCTTATATTATGGATAAATGGACTATGCTAAATGGATCACCTGGTACAGCACTTATAAGAATTCCAACTTATATTTTTAAATAACCGTTTTTTAATCAATAAACCATTATTAACTAAGCAGAAAGGGCTTATAATAAGTCTCGAAGTCAACCCACGTAATCCACATATCAATCAAGTGATCTAAAAGATAATTTTTACTTTGCTGGACGTTATTATTGTCTTATCTTCAAATTAAACTATATTACGAAGTTGTTTTTTATAGGAGAAACGTATTGGTTAGTGGTCACTATCGTAGAGTATTATTATTACTTAGTTTTCTTTTTCCTCGGATAAAAGTAATCTTGAATGATGTTAAGCTATGTATATATTGTAATCCATACATCCCTAATCGGCTTAATCCTAATTCACTCATTATAGTGAATTTCAATAATTTTGTATGATTCCAATCATTATAGTTTTTAATTTAATTTTAATGTTATTTATGTTTTATATTATTATATACTATGTATCTACACAGGTTATGCAAAACTTTATGTATATGGATTATTTGCATTCAAATATATCATTTTGCTCCTTTTTTTGAAAAATTAAATTTATTGTACATTAAAGCACTTTTTTTGTTAATTTTTATGTTTGAGTATTTTTTTTTTTTGTGACTTTATATGTGATTGCTAATTAGTCATTTAAATATTTATGTTATACAGGTAATGGGCATACAATTTATTAAAATTATATTGATTATAAATCATAATGTGGATAGCAGTGTAAACTATGGCGAAATTCCCAAATATTGATTCTCTTTATAGTTTATGTGTATATAGGTAGGTACGCACAATTAAGTCTTCGTGAATTGAAACTATACTCTGTTCGCCGAGAAATTATGGTTGAGCACAAACCATAACGAGACGCACCCCACCCAACCATCCAAATCCCTGCGTCACGGGTCGAGTCGTGTGCGCCAAGTAATCACATTCCCTCGGTAAAAGCAATATATTGTTAATATTTCGATGGACATATTTGTCTCACGAATCGGCTATTAAGAGGACGTCGCACCCGCATGTGTTATCTCCGTCTTACACCCACACGACATAGCAAATGTTCGTTGGCTAGTTTCAATAGGGTATTGTCAGTTTTTATATCAGAGTGAATTGACCTATTATCAAACATTTAGGTAACAACATTGCCTGTGTTCTCTCGTTGGTTTTTTACGATATTTTAATTTTTAAGTGAGTTATGGGTATGTAAAGTATTCATATTCTAAAATGTTCATAACTCACTTAAAAATTAAAATATCGTAGTAAACCAACGAGAGAACACGAATAATGTTGTTGAATAAAAAATTGATAATAGGCCAATTCACTCTAAATTCAAAAATGACAGCACCCTATTGAAACTAGAGAACGAAAATCTGCTATTTCATACGTGTGTAAGATGGAGACAACACATGCGGGTGGGACGTCCTATTAATCGATTCATTGTATTTTATTACTACCTAGCTGTATAGAAAAATAAGACACGCATTTTGAATATTGTCCACTCTTCTAATACAACGACTGAAACGTACATTTATATCGTTTTAATACAATAATTATTGTAATAATTTTGGATTTTAATAAATTGCAGTATCTATTTATATTATTGGTATTTATTATATTAGGGGTAATAAACATCAGCAAAAATAAAAAATGCTTATCGTTCTTAAACCACCAAGACATGCACGTTGCTAAATTGCATAGCTAATACGCCGTCTTACAATTTATGTTCATTACAATAATAACGTAAGACACAGTTGGCGACACTGTTCATCAGTTCCAGGTTATGTTAATAAAACATTTAATTTGAATATCACGGACTGTTTACAAATAATTGCAATGTTTACGTATTACAAATCATTATCACAATTTACAAAAAAATAAAAACACTACATTTGGGTTGCCGGCTTTCAACTTTTCAAGTACTTACAAGTAATACAAGTTTACAGTCTAGTGTTTATTTGTATTTTATTCAATTAAATTGTTTCTTAATGTTATACATGTAATTATTGTATAGTTCGTTTGTAAATTGCATGTCAAGTGAATAATTTTAGTAACGTAAAATGCATACGTTAGCCTATAAACACAGCAATGCTCACGACGATAGTATTTGGTCATGCGATTGGGGTGAATTGCGAACTACAAAAACTATAGATCGAGACGATTTCGACAAAGGTGATGAGTCCGACGAAGAAGTACAAGAACTTTCGTCGGATTGTATAGTTACTGGTTCCATTGATGAAACTGTGAAAATATGGAATTACGATAAGGCGACCAATCTCAATCTTGACAAAACTCTAAGTGAACATTCACTAGGTGTGATATCTGTTGCACTGAATTCAGATGCATCGATAATTGCATCCAGTGCATTAGATTCCACGTTAACGTTATGGAACACTACGACAGGAGAGAAAATAAAAACATTCTCAATTGGACCTGTTGAATTATGGACAATTGCATTTTCACCAGATGACAACTACATTATTTCTGGTAGTCATTCTGGTAAAATTAACTTGTTTGGCGTTGAAACAGGAAAACAAGAACAAACATTTGACACTAGAGGTATTTTAATGATATTATTAAATCATAAATGTAAAATTAATATGTTCTTTTTATTTAATAGGAAAATTTACATTGAGCATAGCTTACAGTCCAGATGGTAAATACATAGCTTGTGGTGCTCTAGATGGTATCATCAATGTCTTCGATGTTTTGTCCGGCAAACTTACTCACACACTTGAAGGACATGCTATGCCAATTCGATCATTGTGCTTTTCATCGGATTCAAAATACTTATTAACAGGAGCAGATGATGGTCAAATGAAAATCTACGCAGTTCATCATGCTGAAGTATTGGGAACTGTATCTGGTCATGGTTCATGGGTATTGAGTGTGGACTTTTCACCAGACTGTAAAAGCTTTGTTTCGGGCAGTGCTGATAATACGGTTAAAGTCTGGGACGTAGCCAACCGTAGTTGTTTAAATACATTAAAAGAACATAAAGACAAAGTATGGTGTGTGAAATATAACTCGACTGGAGATAAAATGGTATCAGTGTCTGATGATGCATCAATTAATATATATTCATCTCTTTAATAATCTACGAACTTCCAGTGTATATAATACTAATTAATCGTTTTTGTATTGATGTATATATTAGTATATAAACAATTCACACCTGTTTCAATTTTTGTCAGTGTAATAAATGTAATTTAATTTAGATAAATATGAATTAAAGTTTACGCAATTTCAGTTTATGCAGTTTACATATCCTTTGTTTTTTTTTAAATATCAACAAGAAAATGAGTAAATTTTATATGAATATGATAATAAAATATAATTTATCGAATGAAAACTTCCGTTTTAAATTCCCCTGCAATATTTTGGGTATTTTTTATTCATAAAAACTCAAAATACTTATAGAATTATTTTTTAAACTTATTCAATTTTGTAAAAATGTGTTAAAAACATTTAAAAATGTACTCTAATATAATAAATAACAATATGGTATAACTTATAGTAGTAAAATGTCTCCATTCATGCTACTATCAAACAAATTTAACTAGTACAACTCCAAAGACGATTTTACATGCGCCCACCAGTGGCCGAAGTAATTTTACCTGTGGGGGCCCGTCACCATTTGTAAAATTGGTAGATTTTTAGGCTATACAGTTGTGAATGTCTGATAGAAATTTAAAATTTGTTCTGCTATAGTCGCCTATATAAAGACTAAATACAAAACTGGTTACTGTATGTGAACTACGCTTTGACACCAGCCATGGGTGCCCATTGCCTAGGGTTTATTATACTTTGTAAATTTTTACAAATTATTAAATGGTTTTATTTTTTATTAGAAAATAAGCTATAGGTAGTGGTATGAATTTTGTACATTTGTATGTATCATCAACACTATTAAAACCTAATTTAAAGTATAGCTATGTATTTTAATTTTTATGAATTTCTAATATATGAAATATAAAATAAATACCCTTCCAGGTTAGAATTCTATCTATGCCTATGCTAATAATTATTAATTAGTCATTGATTTTAATATGTACCTAAACTATTTCATGTATTTTATACCAAAGACTGGAACCTCACCTAAAAGAACCATTTTTGGAACCGGAACCCTTTGAATATTGGGAATCGAAACACTTATTTAAATTAATTTAAAAACCGGAACCGATACTTTTACTTGACAAATTTTTTCCATAACTAAAATACCTAGTCAGGTAACATTTTTTTTTGTATTTTAAGAACCGAAAAGAAACCGAAACCGAAATTTTAGTTTTACTGGGAACCGAATAGGAACTGGAACCTTAAAAATCATCAAGGTTCCAGTCCCTGTTTTATACTATTGTCATAAATAATAATGTTCAATGAGTAACCTTCTAGATAATAAGCATTAATTCAGGTTAGCAGTAAAATCTATTCATAAAGAATTATTATTAAAGCGGAACAAAATACAAATTGATTGAAATATGAATGGATAAGTATTAAGTACCTAGATACAGTTTAGTTCGTAGTCCATAAGTATACAATAGGATGATGAATAACTTGTATTATGCTTAACATTATGTATAGTATATTATACACCTAAACAGGCTATAGCTAAACATTAAAGTATTGGTCAAAACCTTTCATACATGAAATTAATTTTATGTTAGTAGATTTTTTTATCCTATATGATTTCTCTGGGGACATTTTTTTTTTGTTTACCATTTTATTTAGTTAATTTTCCGCTGTCACGAATCACGATCCCATTAAATTCCATACATCAACCTCTTTCATGATTCATATTATTTCAAAATTAAACATAAATTTAAATTTACTGTGAGTGTAAATCAATTACCATTGTATCGACTATTGATGGATACGAGATACCTACCAATATTGGCATTTAAAATTCAAATTTTGACAAAATTGGATTTTTTCAGAACAATAACAGTTTTAGTTATTTTGTTATAGTTAATCCAAAACTATTATTCATGGGGTCTTGTAACTTTTATGTAAGTATTTTACTATACACTAACATCAAAATATTTAGGTTAAGGAGCCCGGTGCCAATTTTATAGAATTGTTAAACATTTTAAAATTAAATTTATATTTTAGTTGGCACTTACATTATAATACTTTTCCGATACTAGTGCTTACATGTACGTTACAACCCTAGTTTTTTTTTAACATTTTTACAATATTATACACATTTGATTAATATCAAAAACTTGAATCATATTATATTTATAACTCTGTTGAGCGAGAGAACACACCAATTCTGCACACCCCTCAGCGTTACCATGCTGTCAAAATGGGTTTCCCAATGTTAGGGTGCTGCGTTGGGAAACCAGTTTTAGTCGCGGTCTCTCGCTGAACAGAGTATAGAATTTTTAAATTATATGTTGGGGCTAATTCAACATTTTCCCGAAGAAAAGTACCATTAGTTAATTATTTAAAACAAAAACTAATGAGTATTTTGAAATACTTTTAAAGTATTCAAGTCTTAATTAATTCCAAATACTTTTTAAAACTATTTTACTAATACTCTTGAATATACCTAAAAATAGATAAAATTAGCACTTTAATTTCAAAATAAGCAAAATAGCACTATGAAATGTAAATGTTAAAATTATAAAATAAAATGTTGTTTACGACATCAGGGAAATGTGAAACTAATTTGTTTCTTCCTTTAGATTTTCTAAGACTTACAAAAGCATATTTAACAAGTAATAAACAAATAGATTTATTTTTATGGTTAATTATTTATAATAATATTATATTAATAAGCCATTTAAAAAAATGTAAAAAAAAGAACAATTTTATACAAAATAATATTCAATATGTCGATAAAGGATTATTAATAGTTATTCACATTTATGATTTAAAATAAAAGTAGCTTAAAAATGATATTTCATATGGCAATATAGTTGGTGGCAGTGTTTACTCGCACTACTAAAGCCTCAAAAATTCAAAATAATAATTAAAAAAATAATTCATTTTATATAACATATTATGAGTAGTTTACAGGGTAGGAAGGTAGGTATAAAAATTTGCTATACTAGCAACTTGTGAACAATGCCTGCACATACATTTGCACTTATTTATACAGCAAACAATTAACATGGCGATTTGTGGTGCTAGAAGTTAAAAGTATTTCAAAACCCGTTTGGAATATTATTAAAATTAAAATAACTAATCATTGCATTAATTAAGCAATAATTTGTAATACTGCCAAAGGAGAAATTAGATACAACATATTATTATTATTTTAAATTTAAATACCATTTGGATTTTTTGATTTTGATTAAATTATATCATGTTTGTGTTTAAAGAATTATCATTTCTCATTCCAATGGAATCATCATTAAATAGAGAACTACAATAAGTCTGTGTCTGAATATTGGTAAATTCTAAATCACCAAATAGACATTCAGACTCGGCAGTTTGAGTATAAATGTCTAAAAAGTCAAAATTGGTTTGTGTTTCTGAATCTAAAAACATTGGATCTGATTCAATTTTAATAGAGTCAACCATAGGATCGGTTTGAGTCTGTGCACATAACCGTCTTATAGGACTAGAAGTAGCAGAAGAGAGTTTTGGATCATTGTATCTTAACATGCAATCCTTATTTTCAAAAGTAGTCTGAGTTGATGAATCTGATAAAGTTTGTACATCAGCTACAGTTTGTGTCTCGGTAGATCTTTTGCTAGATTCCAATTCTTTTAAGTCTTCTGTGTTGGGCAATAATTTTCTTGTCTTCAAAAATCTATTAAGAAAAAATAGGAATAAAAAAAACTATACAAAAGTTTTATAAATTAAATCAAACTTCATAATAGTAGAGTATCCTAATCCAATATTATGCTGTTTTCGTTTTGTATGAGTGAGGAACGCTTCTGGAGATTTGTATTGAATGCCACAGTAACAAGAATATATTACTCCGCATGTTATTCGATGTGACTTTAATGTTGACTCTAAAGGAAACCCTTTTTCACAATTATCACATTTGTATTTTTTGTCGGAATGCACTTTGATACAGTGCTATAATATTTAAAAAAATATTGACATTTAGATGTATACAAAATTAAAACTGTACGATCTAATACTTACTTGTTTGAGAAGTTTTTGAGTTTTAAAAGATTTCATAGATTGACCAAAATGCAAGTTATACTTACAACCCAAGATTGGGCAGTAGAATGTATCGTTAACAAATTGGCCATTGTTTCTTTTTAGACCGCTCTCCGACAACACCATAACTACACAATTTTTTGACATACCTTACAATATTCAATGCTTACACTTCCCACAGATTGTATATCAAATATCAATACTACAAAATATGATGACCTTAACGTAATAAAATGTCAAATTTATTAGATTGACAATTGAACTAAATCTCATTTCCTATATGCAAAAGAATATTTAGTACAATACATGGTACCTACTACTGAGTACCGTCCTATTATGGTACAACAAGAATAAAATTTAAAACGATTTTTAACTATTCAGCACAGAACGATCACTGATCAGCTAAGGACAATCTAAGATTACACCAAAATTGATAATCACTATAATCTCATTTTCTGTGGTATAATCACGAGCGTTGGCGTATCTACGGGGGGGGGGGGGGGTCATATCCCCCCCCCGGAAGGTTATTTTTGTTTTTTATTTAAAACAATATTTTGATAGTTGTATGAAGATTGAACAGCTTAGGTACCTAAAACCTAACCTAAGAACGAAAATGAATGGTATTAAATTCAATAATATTATCATAAAAACCGGTGGCGTAATTTCATTGTTCAATAGAGGGGGGGAAAGGTTTTGATCGGCCCAAATGGGTAAAAAAACCCCAAAAAAACAGCTAGATTCGCTCGCAACCACATATTATCTACCTACATTTTTTTATGGTACCCTTTATGGGCCCGGGGCAGAGTAAATTTGTGGGGCCTAAAATGTCATTATCGTCAGTTGGCAGTTGCATTTATTTAAATATTTAATATTATGAATTATGATATATACCTACCTAGGTATAAGGGGCTACGCGCAAATATACTTAAAAATATAGTACCTTGTACTTACAATACTATGAATAAGTAAATTAATTAATAATAAAACAGTAAACACGTAATATATTTATACTTAATATAATAATATTGATAAATTAATAAGTCTATAAATATAGTAGGCACCTAATACAATATGAAAAAAGGTAGACAAGTGGGTACCGCTCTGCTGTACAGTGGGTGTCAAGCATGTCGTTGTAATGGATGTGTTATATTTAAATTACATTGATAAATTATTGTAATTTTTTAAACGAAAAAATATTCTGAGCGGAGACATTGTATCAGCCTATCTGCCTATCACACTTGTAAAAGTAATCAAATTTAGTAGCTAAAAAAATTAACAAAGATCGAAAACGTGGCTTCCTGGGGAACTTTTTTAGTTTGATAGAATTACAAAAACTTGTTGGAAACCTTCTATTAAAATGTCTCAAGTTAGGTATGAAAAAAAAACTTTTATAAATTTTGTCGAAATTGGAACATTAAAAGGTTAGATAACAAATAAGCTTATATAACAAATAATTGAGCCTATGTATTTTTAAAACTTCTATTAATAAAAATTATAAGGAACCTATCATTACATTTTCAAGATTTTTTACTAAATGAAAAAGATTTTATCGAGGATAATTTTAAAAAAATTTAGAAAAATGAAAAAATTTCTCAAGGGCTCAAGCCTATAACTGGCTCAAAAATAGTCAAAATATTGAGAAAATGTTTTATGGAGAATTCTAATATAAATATTTGTTGAAAATTTCAAGGTTCTACAGTTATGAATTTTTGAGATACACCAAAAAATAAAATCGATTTTTCAAAAATTGATTTTGTATAAAAGTCACCTATTTTTTTGTTTTTCTCAACGTTTTCTAAAACTACTAGAAATTTTTAATTTTGACTCCCCAAAAATACCAACTATAGTTCACTTTTCTGTCAGTAAAGATGCTGATCTAGGAAATCGGAGCACTTTTACTACCCAAAAAGGGCCATACTTTACAGAAAAAAAAAACAAATCATTGTAAAATAAATACATTTTTTCGCTCCGCTCAGAATCTAAGCATTTTTTTTTCTATAAATATTATAGCTAAGTTGTTGTTTTTTTTTGGGGGGGGGAGGGCAGAGCGCTTTGAAGATTTTCATCATTTTCAACTTTGAAAATCGAATTTTAATCATATTAACTCGTTTTAAATGCAATACATTTATTTGACGACTGATGTCAATTAATATAAGTAGGTAAGCCGTAGGTATAGGTAGTAAAAATTACAGCAATTAAGGATATAAAAATTAAAAAATATATAAATAATAATTTTTTTTTCTCATTAACTTGGCTTTTTTATGGTATCCACAAAAGCGGGGCCTGTCCAACTGGTGAAGGCGCGGGGCCCAGGGCGAGGGCCCCGCTCGCCCTGCCCTAGGGACGGCCCTGTGTATTGTTAATATTTTTATAAATCTATAATAAAAACTTAAGATGAATAAAGGTAGACAATATGAAGAATCTTGTATTACATTTTCATATCTAAGATTTAAAAAGAAACATTTTTATGAATTTCTAACTCAAAATAATTTGCAAATTTTCGTTATTTTTACGTATTTTGTCAATATTTGAACTTTAAATGCTTATAACAAAAAACTGTGGCTAAGGATTTTTAATATTTTTGAAATGTCAGTGTCACAATATAGTACGAGCATTGTATTAAAATTTCAAGTATTTTTACTCAATAAATAAAGTTTTATTAACATTCATAGAATAAAAAACTAATAAAATTGGAAACGGAAAATGTCCCTAAGCAGTTCAAAATAAAACAAAATATTTTGAAAATTTTAACGTGTACAGAAAATGCAAATATAAACAACCAGTGAAAATTTCATGTATCTACGGTCATTTGTTTTAAACTTACACCAAAAACCAAAATCGATTTTGCGTAAAAATTCCCGTTTTTTCTTAATTTTTCTTGGCCCTTTTGAAAATTACTAGGAATTTTAAATTTGTAAATGCACCAACAATATTCACTTTCCAATTGAACAAGATACTGAAGTTGAAAATTGAAGCATTATTTCGACTACTTATCGTGTACAGACAAAAAAAAAATTTTTTTTTATTTTTATATTTAAATGCAATCTACGCTCTATACCGTAAGACGGGGTGAAGTGGACCAGTTTTTGGTATATTTCTTAAGATTCCGAAGAATCTATTTGATCAAAACGATTGAAACTTGGAATATATAATCTATACATATGAATACGTGATATGAATTCATGATTTTTTTTTTTCAAAGTTTTTTATACCTTTTTTTTTTGCTCTAAAAAGTGGTCCACTTTACCCACATATGTGGGGTGAAGTGGACCGGGTGTTTTATTTATATTATAAACCATTTTAAATAGTTGGAGAGGTGAAGTGGACCCCTATTTTATGTTTTTAAAAAAAAAATGACACTGGTACATAGTTAAAATCACTCTATTCATGTAAAAATCTTAATATTTTTATATAATCAGTCTTAATTTTACATTAAGTCTTTTGTTCTATTATAATAGTTTTCTTTTTACTGCATTTACAGCCAAAGATAAATATTCATTGGTGTACTTCAAATTGTAACTTCCTGTGTAGTTTTTTTTATGGTTTCTAGGCATTTTAACTTTTTGGATGGTGGACTACTTCAGCCTAAGGTTTCAAAATGTTGAAAGATTTGTTTCACCAATAGCTAAATAACAATAAATATACAATTATTATTGAATTAATTAATTCATATGAACCTATTGAAATGTTTATTAAGTATGAACATTTTCAATTTAGTTACTTACTTTTGAGTTTTTAATGACTTTTTGACGACCATCATACAAAAACAAAAAAATAAGGTTTGTTATCAAAATTATTTTTATAACATATTTTGTACGTATTGTTATCACTAGTATCAACAATTGTTCGTTATTATACTGCTATGGAGGTAAAAATTACTAAATTAATTTTGATCCAACCGTGTTAAAGTTATGCTGATAACGTTCAAAAAATGAGAATGGTCCATTTCATACCTGCAGGTCCACTTCACCCCGTCCTACGGTACCACATGGAACAATATGTAGATGTGAATGAGATTAGTCGTATACAAATAATTTTAAAAAAATACATCATATCCTTAATAATATTTGTACATAATACGTGAAAAATTTTTGAGGAAAGCAGCCACCCATTAGTAACACTTAAATTTGCCTTACATTTTTTAAAATTATTTTTTTTTTATATTTTCAGTTTTTTTTTTCAATTAATATTTATATTAATATTAGGTAGCAATAGATCACGACACCATTTCCGTTTCAACCGTCCCGGCGGGTTACCAGGGATAGTAGGACTGGCTAGATTTCTGACAAGAGGATTGGGATGGGCTAAAGTGTGGAAATGGAAACGTATACCTATAATATGCTTTAGCTTCTTCAGAGACTGATGGCATTTTAAGGTCTTTATGTATAGTGTGGTTAGACATAGGGAGGGGCATTAACTAATTTGCGAAGTGCGATGTTTTGAAATGTTTGGATTTTGTTTATGTTAGTTTTTTTTTGCGTTTCCCCAAAGCTGTAGGCTATATGTCCAAACAGGCTTTAGTAGTGATTTATAGATTAGTAATTTGGTAAATTGATGTGAGTATATTTATTATTGTGGATGAGGTTTTTTAGTAGTCGTAGGCGTAAGTTTAGATTAATTTTTTTGAACTTAATATGCTGGGCCCAGGTCAGTATTTTATCAATGGTCAAGCCAAGATATTTAACATTCGAAGCACTGGGAATCAGAGTATTATAAATAAAGACATCAGGGCAAGGGGTGAGTTTAAGGATGAACGTCGCATGAACCGATTTGGTTTGACTTAAAAAAAAAAAATTAAAATTAAAATAAAAAATAAACACATATCATTGTAAAATCAATACATTTATCGTTCCACTCAGAATCTAAAATGTGTTGATTATTGTCATTAAGCGCCAGTTCAACGTAAAAATGTGGTAGTGGCCGTTGGTTTATTTTTTATATTCACCACACGTAAAACGAGTGCCCTACCAGAGCTCCACCAGAGCATCTGAGATATAATAATTTAAGATTAATTGTGGACTGATGTATCGATTCGAGATGCGAGTGGCATAGAATCACGGTAGCCAGTAGTACTTATCATGGAAATTATTTACCAATAGTATATAATCAGGCGTAGGATGCTAGGA